TATATCAGTACTAGATGGAGATACGAGTCAATTTAGAAGTAATGACATTGTCTGGACTTTGCTTTGAGGATGCCTGATGCTAGGTAAACATGACAACATAGTGCTGTTATTGTTTTGATGATTCACTCGTAAACCATTGGGATATATCATCATTTATATTAATTAATGGAGAACATTTTATTTTAACTACCATAAGTATTTGGATGGTTACTGTAGATTCTAGATAGGCTATATTGGGTAAATGTTAAGTTTTGGTCATCCTGTACTAAGACATAAAGACTGTTTTTGTGGTGGTTTGCGATGTGTTATGAACGATGTCGACCTTCATTTCTATCGGAAATCACTAGTTTTGAGTTACCCCCCCCCCTTACTGGTGTATGTTAGGCTAATCTTATAACTTATAATATAACTCATCATACCCTAACCTAACCTAACATATGACCTACAGGCATTTCAGTTAGCCTCACTAGGTTACGTTGGCAGAGGGAAAGCCAACTCCATAAATGCGGTATCTCTCCGCAGCAGGCTTACCCCTCCAGAAGAAGGCACAGCCAGACCCCCGTTCTGTGATTCGTCCCTCGTCTGGGAGCCGGGGACTCGCTAATGGCTGCTATGTCGATATTATATCTAGCCAGCTCTTTTCCCACAAGGGCGGTTCTTCTCAGGATTTGCATTTGTGCCAGTATCCAGAAGGGTCCTGACATTCCATGCAGCGACCATAAGAGGTTGCATAGTTTGTTTTTGTTTTGATCTGTGATTATGATTGTTTTTTCGACCGCATAAGTATGACCTTACTGGGTGCGGTTTCCCAGTCAGGTTGGTTCTTTAAGCAGGCTATGTTTAGGGCACCTTTTCTAGCCCCCTCCCCATGTGGGGTGAGCAGAGTGGCTCCTCGAAAGGGCTGCTCAGTTACAAAGACAGGACCGGACTGCACTGCTGCCTAGATCCCAGTGCATAAACGACCATCTTATCTGTGCCGCCCGTGTGCAGAGTTGTGACTAGAGACTCCCGGCAGTCTTCTCTGCCTGTCCCCATCGCCACTCGTCCGACACCATGGGATTTTTGGGGTATAAGGGTTTGATGATGAGAGGTATGATGAGCTGGATGATGGCTGCGCGTGAGTTGATTTATGTGGTGAGGCAGGAGCGCAGACTGCAACCACACATCTTGGCTCTCCCTTTACCTGATCCAGTTGCAATGGACTCCCGATAGCCCAGTTTGTTGGGTTTTCTTTGGTAGGCCTGTCCATCATCCATTGCCTTCTTCCGCCGGTGTAGTCGTTAGGTTCCCATGTTGGTCACGTCTTCTCCTAAAACCGCCGTTGGGGTCTTGTTGGAGCTCTGTAAGCAATGTCTGCCTGATGCGGGGCACACACACACACACACACACACACACACACACACACACACACACACACACACACACACACACACACACACACGGACAGACCCCGCAAACTTCCAATCACTAAAGCAAAATCAGACGAGGACACGAGTCTAACCTTTACCGCCTCCCCAATCTAAATGCAGATGACGTCATATGTTAAACCGGGGGGATTTAAATTATGTGACAAAGAAAAAAGAAAAATTGTTCTAGTATTTGAGAGAGAAAGTTTGTGTGTGTAATTTACCTAATAATTTGTCCTATCCTTTTCATTATGTCAACATGGCATCATATATCATGTTGTTCAGCCAAAGTTTTATATTATAATAAAACAGGACGCACTAAAACAAAATATTACTTGTATTGAGACGATACAAATTTTTTATATTATGGTTTTAATTACGAAATTAATGACCTAACCCACTCCAAAAATCCAACCCTAACTTAACCTAACCCATCCCCCAAACCATAACTTAACCTAACCCTCCCAAAAAACATAACCTAACCTAACCCACCCCAATGAACATGAGTCAAATTTACCAAACATTTAAACGAGATAGTCTACCATCCCCTTTGTGAACGGGTTCCTCTTTGCGCTGACTAAAATCATCGGACGTTTACCAAATGAAAAACTAAAAGTGGACAGTAGTGAAGAGATTAAGAAACTGAGGACTTAAAAACATGCTTTATACCCACCCACTGGACAACCCACACGCTTAACCCCGCTAGAAATGATCACAACAAACAGATCATCTTACACATTAACGGAGACACTCAAGACTGGCGAGTTAACGGAGTGGAACAACAACAACAGAAAATAAAAGACCTGGACATACCTCATTACCTCAGGCTGTGTGGCGTGTTACGGTTCCTTCACATACACACACATGCTACTACTACTTTGCTGTCACTCGGAATCGAGTATGACGATCATCCAGCTATGATACAATGATATGAGTTATTAAGGATGTCACCTAGGTAGTTCTGAGGTGAATGAAGAAGCCGATACGGAACCGGCAGGGTCGATCACAGATGTTGCACATGTGGGGGGCTACATCTAGTGCGGGAGGGGTGACGGCGGCGTCTTTCCGGTGTTGGCACTTGTCTGCCTCGTTATGCAGTCAGGCTACCTCGAAAGTATGTACACCTTCTTCTGTGGTGATCCTCCAAGCGTTACGGTGTGGAGTAATCGACTCCCAGGTGAGGAGGTCAATTTGGCACTTTTTCAGTTTTGTCTTAAGACTATCCTTATACCTTTTCAGTTGCCCACCAGAGTTACGTTTACTATACATTAGGTGACTGTAAAGTAGCTGCTTAGGCAGTCTACTGTCGTCCATGAGGGTAAAATGGCCAGTGTAGCGTAGTTATTCATGTATAATGGTAGCCTCGATGCTTATACAGTTAGGGTCAGCAAGAATACTGGCATTTGTTCTCTTGTCTTCACAGCGAACTCGGACGATGGAACGTAGACTACGTTGGTGAAAGTTTTCAAGTGCCTTGAGGTTCCACCTACAGTATATGTGTGACCCATGTCTCGCTGCCATATAGCAAGGTGGGGGAGGACCACTGCTCGATATACGTGTAACTTCGTAGATAATTTCAGCTCCCTACAGCTGAAGACATGGGTTTCGAAGTCTGCCAAAAGCTTGAGATGCACATCTCATCCGATGTTGAATCTCTTCATCGAAGTCTGTGGTCGTGGACTGGTAGGAACCAATATACAGAAAGTGGGTAGCATTGGAGGGGCTACTACCGTTAAGCTGGATGGATGGTGGAGGTGTGTCTGAACCAGGGGCAGGTTGAAAGAGAATCTGAGTCTTACGTACATTCACATCAAGGCCAAAGTGCGCATACGCATCTGCGTAGGTGTTTAGGATCTCCTGTAGGTCGTGTTCACTGTGAGCAACAAGGGTGAGGTCGTCTGCATACTGAAACTCAGTAATAGAAGCCGCCACACCTTTGTTCTTGCCTGGAGTCGTTGTATGTTGAAAAGACCCTTCATCCGGTACGCGATGTCCACCCCGCCAGCTAAATTGGCGCTGGCACGAGTTAGGAAAGCAGCCAAGAAAATAGAAAAGAGAGTTTGTGCCAGTACACACCCTTGTTTTACCTCCATCTCAATGGGGAAGAACTTAGACTGGTTGCCATTGTGCAGGACACTGCCGTTCACGCCATCGTGGAGTTGCCTCACAAGGACGATGAATTTTGGTGGGCAGCCAAAACGGCTGAGGGTACACCAGAGGGCTTCCCTGTTGACCGAGTCGAAGGCCTTGGTTAGGTCGATGAAAGCCATGTATAGGTCATGACACTGTTCTCTGCATTTTTCCTGTATCTGGCGGGCAGCAAAGATCATGTCAGTGGTGTCACGTGATGGTCTAAAGCCACACTGAAATTCTGGGAGGAAGTTTCCGCCTCAGGGAGAAGTCTGTTTAGGACTTAGGCGATAATCTTGCCATCTACGGCAGCAGCGAGATCCTGCAGTAGTTGCCACAGTCTAACCGGTCTCCCTTGTTTTTATAAATATTGACGATGGAAGCGTTTTTAAGAACTTAGGGGATTTCCTCCTTTTCCCATATAATCTCCAGGAGAGAGTGAAGACAGCTGGTAAGCAGAAGTCTTCCTTCTTTATACACCTCAGCTGGGATTCCATCAGGCCCTGAGGCTTTGTTATTTTTCATATGTTTGATGGCAGTAGCTACCTCATCCAGGGATGGAGGATAGCTTAGGTGGGTCAGCTCTGGATGCTGAGGGACCTGCTGGTTAGTCAAGACATCCACATCTGTGTTTCGGTTGAACAGTGAATGGTAGTGCTCTTTCAGCACTGAAGGAGGCCTTCATCGTCTTTAATCATGGAGTTACCATCAGATGAGCGGAGGGGGCTGCGCCACGAGTGATTGGCCCATAAAATGTTTTAGTGGAATTGAAAAATTTGCGCATCTTGTGCTAATCTGCAAATTTTTGCGTTTCACATGCTTTATTTTTAAAACAGTTGTTCTTTAGATTGCGAAGTTCCCGCTGGGCCGTCGCTTTCTACTTGTGGAAGGTATCAGCTTTGGTCCGAGACTGAGGGTTGTTCTGCCAGTCAGCTAAAGCAGCAAGTTTATCATCAAAGAGAGCATTGATTGCCGGGTCATTTTCATCAAACCAATCCTGGTGTATTCTTTTGATCTGGCCGAGGGTCTCTCTGAAGGTTTTTGTCATGACAGTGTCGAGAATATCTCATTCGGCACTGGGATATAGGTTATTTGTTGTCGGGTTGTTTATAAGCCCAAGTTCGAGCTTCTCTCTGAAAGCATGTGCTACCGCTGGATCCTCCAGACTCTTAGTGTTAAAACCTCTTCTAGAGGCTTGCTGCCTTCATCGTTTTGGGGCGACGTATAGTGAGAGCCTGGCTCTGACGAGACGATGATCAGTGTCGCAGTGATTTGAGCCACGCATGGCTCGGGTGATGAGGACATCTCAGCGATCTCTTTCTCTGACAATGATGTAGTCAATGAGATACATTATGCTTCCAATATCTTCCCAGGCGGTAGTACCTCCCTGTTTGATCGCTGCCTACCACCTTCTGCCTAATATCCCTCAACCGAAAAATCAAACGAAATTATTTAATGCAGTACAGCCTAGTGAATCCACCAATAGTAATAGAGTTCTCAATAACTCCACCAATAGTAATAGAGCTCTCAATGACACCACCAATAGTAATAGAGCTCTCAATGACTCCACCAATAGTAATAGAGCTCTCAATAACACCACCAATAGTAATAGAGCTCTCAATGACTCCACCAATAGTAATAGAACTCTCACCTTGCAATGGAGGTAGAGGAGGCATTTGCTGTATATTCTGTGACTCTTGTACATCAACCTCCTCTTCCGGGAACATAGACAAGGAAAAAGTCCTGTAACAGCCTTCACTCTTGTGGTATACGGACCAGGAACCCGCCGACCTGTGACAACATTCAATTATTCCATGCTTCCGCTTTTACTATTTACAAATACTACTCACAATTAACAACCAACAGTTTTAATGGAAGGATTACATCCCTTACAGCTCCGGTATAATTTTTGTAGTTAAACATGAGTTAAAAAAATCATAACATCAAAATTTAATTCAATAAAAAATTTCCCGTTGACGCTGGAAGAAAACAGTGGTTAATATTCTCACACTAGCTGTCCACAGGTTCCCACAGTGTTTACCTGAAGTTATTCTCCTCACTTACGAGTCAGTTGTCTCTTCCTTTCCTCCTCCTTTTTGTAGGTTAGGTTAGGTTAGGTTAGGTTGGTTGGTTGGTTCTTTTGGTATGAAATAGGGTTTTTTGTAGTTTTTGTGTTTTACTCAAATTTGATCTCCATTTTTGTTCAAATTAGCAGTTTCTGTTAAAAATTAAGATTTATAAAACGTTAATTTGCAAAAGAAATGAAGGTCAGATATGAGTAAAACACAAGAAAAAGGTAAAAAATTAAATATTCTCGTATCAAAACCTGGGAACTGAACCAAGCAACCTGTCTCTCTCGCCCTCCGCTCTTCCTATGGTGAATAAATACTCTATATCTGAATTAAAACTTAACTTAACCTAACCTAACCGTTCCTAGAAACTACAAACCTTTAATTTTTATTTGTATATGACAGAAAATGACTTACAACTGGTAGAACATTAACTAACGGTACTGATTACATTCGTTCACTTACCGACTATACGAGGCGTCGGTCATCCTCGCGTAGGCCATTTTCCAAGTAAACGAAGCCTATCGACTCGCTAAAAACATTCACAGCTCACTATCTTAAATGGATTAAGTTCTTTAAAAGCTTATAACAATAATTCACTGCAGTCAAGCGGGTATAACAGCAAGGTAAAAACTAACAGAATATGTTCACTGGTTTCGTTCGCCAAGCACAGCAACAAAATGGACAATGTTAAAGAAACTTTAACGAACAAGTGTTCGAGTCCATTTATTTTTCAGGCGACATTAGCCAACTGTACTTATACTAAGCTTGTTAAAACTACTCTTTGATCATTAAATTAATTTGAATTTTACTTGTTTCAGGACGTATGTATTCGTAAAAGAAACAAGAGGTTAGAATAGGTGAGCAGTTATGTTCGTAGTAAATATCTAACTTTAGTCTGTCATGAGGCACGCCACGTGACACCTCCAAACCAAGCGCGTATTTAAGTTTTTCAATTATTATGAAAAAATATAAAGTAATATAAAGTAGACCAAATTGCAAACTTATATTATATAAAAACAACTTATACACCGTCGTATCCTTTTGTAATCGAAGATGATACGCCTCATCTTCAATAAAAATAATATAGTGTTTCTTTACTTTAAAGTTGGCATCATTTGTTTATATCCTCGTAGTGAATGATCTTTATAAAATAAACACGACTTAGTATTATACGCGTCCAAAATCATTTTAGGTAAAAAATAATTACGTTCAGAATTGTTTTTTTATCTGTTATGCTACAAAGATTCTTATACATTATATTATAATCCTAAATTAATAATCAGATGATGGCAATAATATTTTGTTTGCTTAATTTGTGAATTAATCCACGAAAAGAATCACTTACTGATTTTTTTATTTTTTTTTTGTATTTTTAAACCAGACTGACATCGGACAACCCCCTATAATGAGATAACAGGTGTGTTTATCTACGTTATACTCCTTCTATCCGTCTTTGCCGCGGTAGAACAGTGATACCCAGCGGTAATTAACCTTTAGCGTGCATATTGAATTGATAATATCTGCCTGTGATTATTATTCGCTTAATTATGAAAATTGAGTGAACACCAAGAAGGGCACTGGTGACTGAGCCGGGCCCATCTTGTCCAAGTCATTTAAAGTGTCTCGGAAGTGAGTAATACTGCACTGGACCTACACAAGTGACAACGTAATATCAAGGCCTCCTGACTCACTAGATTCCAGCTGCTACAACAAGGTAAGCACTGTTTCTGTACCTGTCATTGTATCTTATTGAATAATATTGTTGGATCACCTGAAGATCTATAGCCCCCTTAGCCTATTTGGTATCATTTTATAAGTGGACTCTTAAAAGATGGTTGTAAATGAATAGTTTGTTAAAGGTAGTGCCAAGACCTGCACTGGGGGCTATCTAAAAAACAAGTTATCTCCCACGAAAATCAATATCAAAACTGAATAAAACACATCATCGTATGACTGCCACAGATCTGTCTCCTTGACGTAATCTACTTAAGAATGAAAATAGTAACACAAGATCCCATCCATACCACAGACGCCTTCAGCTTTACCATCACAACAGACCTGACTCACGTGTACTTTGGTGGAGAGAGGCAGTGACGGGGCAGTGGAGGGAGGCAGGGGACAGTTGAGGGTGACAGAGGCAGCAGAGGTGGGGCAGGGGCAGGGTGACAGGCAGGGGGGGGCAAGGGGGGAACAGAGACAGTGGCAGGGGACATAGATACAGCGAGAAACACAGGGAACAGTCGCATTAGGGAACACATGTTAAACCGAGACATTAAGAGGGGGAACACAGGTAACACGACACATCCTGAAGGGCGAGTGTTGAGGTGAACGATCAGTTGTAAGTTATGTACAGTACTGCCCCCCTGGTGATTATCCCTCAGTGTGCTGCTTCACTTAAACACACCAAGCGGTAATTATAACGTCCTTATAATTCTGACGGGTAATTCATTCTCCAAGTCAGGTGCTGATGAGTTTGAGTCTGAGTTTGGATTCAGGATTTAGGGATAGTCATTAATTACTGGCTTTAACTAGTGGCGGTGGTCTTGTTGCCTAATATATTAACATTGACAAGAAAGTGGTGTGTGTGTGTAGTGTGGTGTGTGTGTGTGTGTGTGGTGTGTGGTGTGGTGTGTGGTGTGGTGTGGTGTGGTGTGGTGTGGTGTGGTGTGGTGTAGTGTGGTGTGGTGTGTGTGTCTGTGTGTGTACCTTATATCGTTAACAGCTGCAATCCGAGAAAAACAAACATAAACACAGGAAACTCTCGTGTTAACTCCCCGAGCACAGAGACAACAACTCAACATCAGTATTTGTGGCTTGAAGGTCAGCGATCCCGTTATATAGAGGATTCACTATAGTTAATTTCAAGTACAAACTCCACAAAACTCGGTGATGCCAACTATGGTGAACCGAGCGGCTGAATGTGGGTCGAGCCTTGTCCCAGTCATGAGGTCAATGACGCGAAAACTTAAGAGAATGAGGAAGAAAAAAAAATTGGATGAAATTAAATGGTACTTAGAGAACCTGTAAGAAAGGGGAGGAAAGCGAATGTGATGATAAAAGCCGGAGGTAAATAAGAGAGAAGATAATAATATGAAAACTATAATAGAATGAACAAACAGTATATGGGTTAGGTGTCAAATGTATCCAGCGTCACACACACACACACACACACACAGACACACACACACACACATACACACACACACACACACACACATACACACACACACATACACACGTTCGAAGAATATAATAAAACTGGATAAGAATGACAGTAATTTTTACATCTGGAAATTAATTACTCGTGACGAAATATAATCTTAGTTTAACAGCATCTTGGGGTATAATTATATTGTCAAACACAAGGTAGAGGGTCATTGTGTGTTGAGAATTTTTCTTTCTTCCCCTCCACCGTCCTTCCTTCCTTCCTTCCTTCCTTCCTTCCTTCCTTCCTTTACACTGATTTTCTACCACTGTGCCAAAGTCGCCCAGTAATCATAGAGATCCAGTGTACTATATCATGCCTCCTGCCAACCCGTGAGGTACTATTGACGTGCAATATACACCTTAGTCTCACCTTGAAATTTTACCTGTGAGTTTACAGAGGTCATGAGGGTCGTAGTCCACCCGGTTGGTACGTGACAAGGAGCACGAGATTTCACGAAGGTCATAGGTGTGTGTGTGTGTGTGTGTGTGTAACCAACGATGTTTACTGAGAACGCGAGCTGTAAGACCCTAGTTGACGATCATCTCCCTCACACTAAATGGAAAGTGAATGCCCTTGAAGAGTAACCTGGATGACCTTTGATGTGATGGCAAGTGAAGGTCAATCAGGGGACAAAACAAAATACATGTTGCAATCCAGTCCATAACATGCATGACCTTTAGAGCAAGTCCATCGGTGGTTGTTAATCAGCTTCCATAAACTGAGAGAGAAATGCAGAGACCTACAAAACAGATCGACACGAGTTATTTCTCCTCCTACAACATAAAACAAAACATGAGAGATTATCTTTGTTTTCATTTTATTTCTCTGTTATTATAAAAAAAAAACCAAAGTCATGAAGGTTATATTACAGACTCGTCCAAATTTTGTAGTTTATTATCTGTATTTTTAGTCACGTGTTAGTCATGACCTTGTAGAAATAATTCACTCCTTCAAAATAATGAACTCCGAATATGGCCAAAAGGGGTTCATTAAAGCCAGGTTACAGGTAGAGGTGCAGGTTACGGACCGGTGGGGGTGAAGGTTACAGGTACAGGTTACAGGTAGAGATACAGGTTACAGGTACAGGTACAGGTTACAGGTAGAGGTGCAGGTTACAGGTAGAGGTACAGGTTACTGGTACAGGTACAGGTTACAGGTACAGGTAAAGGTACAGGTTACAGGTTACAGGTAGAGGTACAGGTTACAAGTAGAGGTACAGGTTAAATGCGCAGGTTACAGGTAGAGGTACAGGTCACAGGTATAGGTATAGGTAACAGGTACAGGTCACAGGCACAGGTATAGGTATAGGTTACAGATACAGGTTATAGGTAGAGATACAGGTTACAGGTCCAGGTCACAGGTATTGGTACAGGTATAGGTAGAGGTACAGGTTACAGGTACAGGTACAAGTTACAGGTCACAGGTAAAGGTAGAGATACAGGTCACAGGTAGAGGTACAGGTTACAGGTAGAGGTACATGTTAGAGGCACAGGTTACAGGTAGAGGTACAGGTCATAGGTACAGGCACAGGTATAGGTACAGGTTACAGGTACAGGTTACAGGTATAGGTTACAGATACAGGTAGGTCACTGCTAATGAATGCCGTGTCAGGGGAAGATGCAAGCCTTCCTGAACACGTAATGGATCACTGGAGAATTAACAAGTGAAATAATTTAAGGGGAAATCTCTGTAAATGTGGAAAACCCATTATGATGATCCCTGTCCATGAAATAGTGAACAAATACCGTCCGTGTAATAGTGAACACGTCTATGTACCGTCCGTGTAATAGTGAACACGTCTATGTACCGTCCGTGTAATAGTGAACAAGTCTATGTACCGTCCGTGTAATAGTGAACAAGTCTATGTACCGTCCGTGTAATAGTGAACAAGTCTATGTACCGTCCGTGTAATAGTGAACACATCTATGTACCGTCCGTATAATAGTGAACACGTCTATGTACCGTCCGTATAATAGTGAACAAGTCTATGTACCGTCCGTATAATAGTGAACACGTCTATGTACCGTCCGTGTAATAGTGAACAAGTCTATGTACCGTCCGTGTAATAGTGAACAAGTCTATGTACCGTCCCGTCCGTGTAATAGTGAACAAGTCTATGTACCGTCCGTGTAATAGTGAACAAGTCTATGTACCGTCCGTGTAATAGTGAACACATCTATGTACCGTCCGTATAATAGTGAACACGTCTATGTACCGTCCGTATAATAGTGAACAAGTCTATGTACCGTCCGTATAATAGTGAACACGTCTATGTACCGTCCGTGTAATAGT